TTGCTTGACTTCCTCTTTGTTGGGATGCAGAAAACTATTTTCCTCCAATATATATGCAATTTTTAGGACAATTGGCAAAATGCTGCTGAAATCTCAGTGGCAGACTGGTTGCACTCATGTAATGTTATAACATTTGCATCACCTAAACCTCAAGCCCCAGTATGAGCTGAGCTGTAGAGAACACGCACTTCCTCACTGCACATTTTTTTCAGCTGGACATAAGCCTGCTGCCACTTCCTGTTTACATCTGAGGGAGCTCGTCTTGCTCAATTCATACTGAGCCTCCTCCCGAATGGGACACTCTTGCACAAAGACACACATGAGCTCCTGGCTGCTGGGGTAAAGTTGTGAACATGGCAGGTGTGCTGCTCCCAGAGCTTCCCCATCTCTGAATCTCTCATGGATTTTGTGCAGTTGCTGCCGATCAGTGAACTGAGCTAGAGACCGCTGCGTGGATAGGCTGATGTCAGGCTCTGCATTCCTGTGGCTGACCTGCGTGTACCCATGACCACCACAGTTCACACATCCTTTTGTAATTCACTGAAATATTGATGACAGAGGTTTTCAAGAGATGTTGAGGAAGATTTTCAGGGCTTGGTAGGATGATGAGAGCAAAAGCACATTATTAGAAAAAAGTGTGGCAGTTAAAGCTATCCAATCTTATAAAAAAGCTTGACAGTTGTTAAGGAACCCTGTACCAATTACTATTATTTTTCAGAAACAGACCTGCTGTTGCCCACCTCAGATACTGCTGGCTGTATTCACACCACAGGAACTGTCAGGTTTCGGTGGAATTTTTCAGCATAACTCCACGATTGCAACCAAATCATTTTCTGCACCACTCCTTTTCCCACAGTGTCTCTTGGACACTGCTTTGTCTTTCCAGCAACTCCTTGCTCAGATATTCACCATCTCTGAAACACCCTCAACTCTTGCTAGCACCCCACCGCCCTCCATGAGGTCCATACAAACCCACCCCTAAGTCACTTGGAGCACCTCATTCCTACTCTCAGTCCTCTATTGCAGCCTAAGGTAACCAACAGCCTTCTCTTGCAGCAGCTGGTATGCTGGGTGGGGGGGAGCTCAGTCCAGTAACATCTTTCATTCTCTGCACATCCTAACAACACTCCTAAGACTCCCTGAGTATTGATTGTATACTGCCTTTACCAAGCTGCTAAAAAAAGCTGAATGTAGAAATTGGATGCACAAAAATAAAACCAGGTTTTACTTTGCAGAAAAAACCCAAAAGCTCTCTTAACCGACTTGTATTCCTTAATGCAACTAATATAGCTTTGCAAGAGCTGCTCACAAACTTCCTCCCCAAGAGACACATAAAAAGACATAAATGCCACAAGAAAACAGTTCATTGCATCCTGCTAACAAGCAGTCTAAGGCTCTCAACAAAGCTTTGCCTCCAAGTTTTGCCCAGGGTCTTCAACGAGCTCTGTGTAGCACCCCTGCTGTCTTCAAGGGTGCTGCAGAATGGCCTCGCATGTCTTTTCTGCTCAGTCTGAGCCTAACTCTTGTCCAGCCAGTGCATGTGAAAAAAACTATGCTTTCTCGTTGAAGAGTTTAAAAGAAATTGAGAAATTATCGCATGGACTCAACTACCTGGTGCTGACTTGTTTGACACATTTTGGCCCTTTCTGAACTGTGCCACAATGTGCCATGAATTGCTATGCATGACAGTACACCAGTAACCAAGGGTTTATCTCCGGTAGGAGTTGATCTCATATTGAAAATCCAAACCAGTACTTGCATCAGAAGTGGGCCTAGTGTTAACAGATTTATTTTGATATTTCAGTGAAAGTCTCCTGTGTATATTTGTCAGTGTTGAAGGAAAGTAGTGGAAAAAAAAAATATCGTATTTACAGAATAGTATAAATGTTTATTTTTCTTTGTGATTTGACTGTTTTATTTGTACAATATAGAAAAGTGTATTCTTTGAATAGGTCTAGTAAATATAAATTTATTTTTTTTCTACTTTCAGATGTAAACAGAACTAGAAAATGAACCCCTGCCCCATTCCCAATTATTTTTATGTAACTGGATGAACTTGACTGTAAATCTTGTCCAGTAGTTTGATGCAAATGGCTAAGGAAGTACAAAAACCAATTCACACATTCTACACCAAGGAGAAGAGAGAAAGAAATCCAAGCTTAATATTTGAGAAAGCTTGTTCAAAACAAAATAGAAGAACTAAGAGCATTTGATTGCACCTTCAAAGTCTTTACAAGCAAAATATTCTCAAGCATCATCATACATAATTACAACTGTAATCTAAATTTCACAAGTGTTTTTGCACATGTATATAAATACACATCACAAAAGGTGCAATTTAGAGTAAGACACAGAATATATACAAAATTAACATGGACTGAAGTCTAAACAAAAGAAGGCATATTGCAATCTGTTTGAAAAATAACGTAAGTAGGTATTTCTTCACTTACACTAATTTACATTTATACAAATCTTACTAGACATACTATATTAGGTCACTAGAAGTAAACTGAATATTTGCACTATCTACATGTAAAGTTACTGCACTGATTTTTTAGTAAATTCAAATCCTAATTATGAAAAAAAATGGCATTTACTTACATGAGAGGTGGATTCCCTTTTCAGAGATTTGCACAAATATACTTGCTATTTATGCTCAGGGGGATGTTAATAGCAGACAGGGCCCTTCAGACAGTGACTAGCAGGTCAAACTTTGTCTGCAATGGCCACTCAACTGGCCCACCACTGCTGCAGGCCACCTCCCAGGTCCTTTGCTCCCCCAAGGCATTTTGGGGGGGGACCAGAGAAGGGTCAAGAAGAAAGGGCCTTCTGCATAGGACCATAGGGTGAAGACAGGAGTGGAAGCATCCTCCCATCCTACTGCCGTCACACATGTAGGCACTTAGCTCCACTGCTGGTTGGCCTAGCCCCTACCTTTCCCCAGCCTGGCCCTGCTAGAAAACCTGGAGGAAGAGCTCTGCGGCATTTCTCTGTATTTACAGTTTTACACAAGGAATACAAAATCCCTTTTGAAAAAAGACTACCTAGTTCAGGCTGCAGTGAGACAGGTAATAAAAATGCCTGTGATTAAACATGGTTATTGACGTTCATGGTAGGTAAGTAATGTACCAGGTTAATTTTGCAAATGTGTTCCACTATCAAAAATGTGATCTGAGATTGCCTGTAACAAATACTGAAAAAATCCCCTGCCTTAGTCTATACACAGCTATTGTTGATTCCCCCCTGCCCCCATCCCCCCTGCTTTGTGTAAAAGGATCCATGCATCTTTTTTGGTAGCAATCCTGATTCTGTGCTAGCATCCTTTCTGATCACTGATCTCACAGTCACTCTAAACAACACTAAAAAACCCAAAAGCCTTACACCAAATAAATTGCCAACATACAGAGAAGCAGCATCCTGAAGACCCACAACCAGGCTGAACATGATCCCTACCTGCATTTGCAAGTCAATTTGGATGCAGATTGTCTTGAGTCCTCATTAAGACAACTGTGGTTCCACTGTCTCCCGTGACCTCAGCTTCTCACACTTTTTCAGGGTTACAGCTCAATCCTAGAAAACTCAATGGACTGCACAGCCCTACCTCCAGTGAGGGATTAAGCTGCTGCAGACCTCTGAAAAACCAAGCTTCACCTAAGCAACAGCATTCATCTACTGCACACTTAGGTAACACTGTACACTGGGGCAGACAATCCAGCATTGCATCATGGCTGCCCTTCCTCACTTCTGAGGACAGGCCACTGTCTTAGCCTTCAAGTTCCAGCTTAAGAAACATCGGAGCTCTCAGCCACATTCCTATAAAAAAATTCCCATTAATTCCATTTGTACTACCAGGTACTACCACCTTCCATTTAGATGCCCCCCCTTTTTTTAAACACACTTCCTTTCATAACTATCTTTCATGCACTGATACCTCCTTACGGATCTGTTGCCAAAAGCGTAACCTGGCTGTTGACATCACCTGTGTATTCCTGTATGCACAAAGTGATGCAAATCCATACACTGTAAATAATATATATTATAATAATTTATATATGCCCTTCAGGCAATTATTCTGGGGGAAGGGGAGAACAAATCTAATTTTTAAGAAACCCAAGGTAAAAGCTGTACATCAGGAAGAATAATTGACCTTTAGGCATTGTCTTAAGTAGAAGAGGATTTAGCTAAGATTTAAAAGGCTCTACATCTTGTTATAAAAGATTTTCTTGTTTCAATCTTATGCAGGTCAATTTACAACAAGCACCAAATTAACAAATATTATTAAATCTTCTATGCCAAACAAAAGTGTCCCTGTGCCTTAAGTGTTCTGTTCAGTCCACTTCGTTGTGGCTCATGTGCACGAGTCAGCAGTTCATGGCACAAGGGTCACTTTTGGACTTCCCTGCAGAGTTAATAACTCTCATCAAACAGCGTCCAAACTCTTCCAGGATCATGCGCTCTGCTGCAGCTTTTGACTTGCCCATCTTCTCCGCTTGCTCTGCCTGCGCAAGAAGGCATTCACAGGTTGCATCAGCTACCTCCTTGGTTACAAATGTAAAGGGCAGCCTGAAACAAAAAGATCCACTCACTCAGCAAAAAACACATAATGCACCTAATTCCAAGGCTGGCCAACTTTTTTAGTATAAGGACTGATCAAATTTCATCTGTCCCATTGCTTCCAAGAGCCTTTAGACAACCAACAGGGAGTGAATAAACCACAGTTACAGTCAAATGAATTGGTAGGCCATTGTGCTTTGGAGCCTCCCTCAACTGATGTTCATTTTGAAACAGACTTTGAAATGCCCAGGTACATAGAACAATTCTCCAGCTTTTACTACAAGGGCAGATCAAGGATTACATCCTCTCAGTAAGTGGGACACTTGTACTTCATGTTTTCTGTGAGCGCATGGGCAACTATGAGAAGACAATGCTTAGTTACATGCTTGCACACAGCTGAGCTTGGCATACCCTTAGGTTCCACAGAAAACACAGTTGCATGAACAAAAAGCTCCATTCACCTGAGCGCTCCTGCTTACACAGGTAGCATTCAAAGATGACAGGGACATACCTGTCTCATACATCAGGAAAAAAAACATGTTAGAAGCAACTGAAACAGGGTGCTGCATTAACTTACTTCCCACCACCACTGCTGAGTGCTGGTGTTGGCCTTGTCAGCAGATCTGAGATCTGGGAAGATAACTTGGTCTTTGCAGCGGTCTGCTGCTGGACCCTAACTTCTGCAGCATCTGCTAAATGCATCAATGTCTTTCGCTCTGGGCTTTCTTCAAAATTTTTACAGCCAATGCATTTGCATATGGAAGAACACATGATTTTTGCCTGAAAGAAACAAACAAAACATGAGAAACCTGCTGCAACCTTGACTCCGTTTATGACAAGCCACAACGAAAAGGAGATCTTTTTCTAATCCATCAATTAGCCACTACAAGAACCCCTCCCCAAGTACTAGTTTTCTCTCTAAATTCCCACCCGAAGCGGAGATGCCTTCCCAGAATGTACACTTGAATCAAATGCAATCAATGGTTTCCCACTCATCCCTTTCTTCACCAAACTACTGTTTCCAGTGGAATTTAGGTGGCTGAGCTATGAGAGGGGTCGGTCTGCCACTGTCTCTATATCCACAGACTGACCAGTTAGCTGATGCAATAGCAACTTTTGCTTTCGTCTTCCACAGACTTGTTCTATCCCAGAGCATCTGTGGGATGCTGCTTCAACTCCTTCGAGGGACTTGGTGCATTAGATTTCTTTAGGAAATACTGCTTTTCAGTAAAGGACAAATCCAAGCCTGAGTTCAAAGTTGCTGCATGGTTTAAAATTAAACTTATACAACAGAAGTGATCAATTTTGCCATATACATGGCTTTCTACCTGCAAATTGCTTGAAGAAGAAATAACATCATAGCAACAGAAAAGAAAAAAATCATAGCAATACAAAGAAGAGACAAAACAAATTGGAGAAGTCACAGCACTAAAGGGAAAAAGCCAGTATCTTGAAGACAAGATAATGCTTTGTACCTCATAACATTCGCAGTAGTTTTTGAGACATCCCGAGCGTTTACAGTTACACCCTTTGCTGTGTCTCCGATCCGATTCTCCTTCCTTTCCTTTCCCTATTTTGGGCTTGAAGGCTTCAGGGTTTCTGTCAAGGCAGGCCTGTCAATACAGACCCAAAGAGTCAGTCACTGCATGTGGTGAGCAGAATTTAGAAGTGCAACAAAAACTTAAGCCTTGCACATGTGGGAGGAGATCAGGGCATGATACCACCACTCTACCCCATGCCGTAGCTTCAGAAGACGCAAGCTAAATGGCTTTCATCCCAGGGGCAGGGAAAGAGGCCCCTCACCTTTATTGCTTTTTGCCTGTCATTTTCATGGTCCAGGTTGTTATAACAATTTGTACAGTTGCAGTTATTGCAGAATTCACCGTTTGCAAAACAATCACAATACCTGAAACAGAAGATGCAGAAGGCATTTGTAAACACGACCATGTGCACAAGTGGTATCAACCTCATTTCAAGGCCTAAATCCTCGACCACAGGTCTAGTTGCTGTCTAAAGACACAAGTATAGCTCAAGAGGGTCTGTCTAAGACAATGTTCATATAGCACAGGTCCCCATAGCAGCAAGAGAAGCTAATGAGACTTTTTTCTAGGGTGACTCCTTGGTGGCTGATCCACATATTGAGGGCCATCCTGTCACACCTGCCTCATAGCCAGTTCAAGTCAGCCTTCAGGAGCTCTCATACAGCAGAAACAAAAGGCAAGCAATTGGAGTGCCAATCAACAGGCAAACTGAGTAACACAGCAATGAGCTTTTTTTGTTAATTTTGTCCATAAGCTGTTTGCAGCTGTGAATTGATGCAGAGTTTGCCAGAGCAGGGATGAAAGAATAGAAAGGGAATAACAAGTGGTACACCTCACAGGCTTTGAAGCACAGGTAACTAGGGAAAGGATCTGAATGAGGATAAAACTGTAGTCAGAGACTTTTTAAAGGGACAAATATGTGAATAAAAAGCAGCAAAACATTGACAGGAAAAACCAATCACATTGCCATACCTCTTATGTACCTCTGCTACTCCCACCAAAAACAAAATCTCACCATCCTACAGATCTGATACATGGAAGCACCACATTCATCTCCAGCTTAAACACGGCTTTAGGCCATGACAAACTCTGGCACATTTCAATGCTTTCAGTACCACCTCTAGCTATAGTTGATGGAAACTGCTGACGTCTTCAGTTGCTTTTCAAATCCTGCTGGGAGCGTATGTTCGTTTTTAGGAGCCTAAAACCTTTATAAAACTGGCTTCCTGTGGCTTGCCCAGAGGAATACTACAAGAACTAGATTAGGGTTGCCCTGGAGCCCACTGCAACCCTTCATCTGGTTGAATTGCATTTTGGTGATTTTTAGCATCCTGATTGGTTCCAGTGACAAACTACATCAAAAGCTTTTACAACCTGTAATAGTTCTCTTTGCTGTCCTGTTTAAAAATCAGTAGTGGAATGCTCTTAGTTTCCAAAACAAACAGCACCAGCATCAACCCAGAGCATCAGTGAGCAAATAACTTCTCTGAGTTCTCTTCTTTGTAGAATAGGCTATGTGCCTACCTTCAATATTAGTTTGGGAAAAAGCAACTCCCCTTCCAGACAGGACAAAGTTTTACTAGTGAGAAAGCATCTTTGCCAGAGCGAATTAGCCATTTGCTCTGCACCAATGCCTAGCCACTTAGATACAATTACCGTAATTTACAAGAAATTTTTGTTTCCAAACAGCATTCTAAAAGTGCAAAGTATCACCAGTGATGCCATTATTCTCCCAGAATTTCTAGAGCATTCAGGCACCAAAGACTAAAATACGTGGAAAACCCTAAGCTTCTAACATACATTTGGCACTATGAAGTCAGTCACATATGTTGTAAAATGTGAAAAACCAGCTTCACATCTTCTCATTTACCATGTCTTCTGTGCAACAGACAATTTTGAGGCTGGGAAGCACAAGGTACACCTCCCCACAGAGGTGGGGTACATTACATGAAGAGAAACCCAAGCTGAAAAGTTTAAACACACTTTTTAACTCGGGTTCAGATAGTGTTGCATCACTTTCTCTTTGAGTAGCACAACACCAATTTCCTCTTCATTGTCTGGATTCAGGGAACCACAGATTAATTTCAGTATCTCCTCCTGTTATTGTCCCTAAAATTGGTAAACTGACTTTGCCTCAAGTTAAAGAAACTTAGCATCTCTTTAGCTTAAAATGCTTTTATATAAAATTCTTACAAAGACACTGAATGCAATAGCAAAGTATCTCATGAGGATGAGCAAGACTCAGACCTATCACTGAGGAATCACTTGTCTATTCAGTCATTTAAGATACATAGTCCAATTCTTCTCAAGTATTTGATACAGCATAGTATTGCTGATGTGCTTCACCAAAGCAGGTAGCCACTGATGATACCATGGGATATCATTTCACTCATAGCAACACCACCACAACTACAGCTGCTGAGTGGAATTGGCTCTACCATGCAACAAAGCTGCAAAGCTGGAAATTTGTAACATGTTAGGGTCTACATAGCTCACAGGAGTTGCAAAATTACACAAGCGCTGCAACATCTCCAGCAATATCATCAACAACCTTAAAATAGCATCTAGACATAACATTTCTGACATACTTTAAAACATTATATTCTGATACTTGGCATAAATTTGTGATGTCAAAAACAAGGCTTAGAAAAACAAAACAAAAAACAAACAAAGCTGTACTTACAATTTCAAACATAGAGACTTAGTACAATTGCAAGGCTTCCTGGGGCGGTTTGCAGATTCAGAAGGAATTATTCTGTGGGGAGAAAAATATTGTTATACATACACACTGTTTTATCAGTTTCTTCCTATTTTAAATTTAAGTAAATAGCTCATAATAAAAACTTTGAAAAAAAACTTTAATTCCTTTTGCATTAGGTTTTTGGCTGACTGTGTTTAAGTAACTATAATATATAGTGCCCTTCCAACCCAGAAAGAGCTGGGTTGTTTGCTGCAAATTTGTCTGCATGCTTAAAGTAGAAATGAGGCTTAAGGCTAAAAGAACCATCATAACTGAAAACTGGAATCAGGGAAAACTTCCCCAGAAATCCTCTACATGTAGGGGGACTAGATCCAACTAAGGTTTACACAACTTGATTGTGCCTTTCCTTTTGTTCTAGTTGGAATAAAAAAAAAGCTCCAGAATAATGGGAAAGTTAGTCAAAACACAGTAGTCAGTTTATAGACAAATTTTATATGAGAGTCTTTAACTGCTCTTAAAACTTGGATTTTGTGTCACTAATAGCTTTTGATGAGATTTGTTCCATCCCAACCCAGCAATTTCTGCACATAATACCAGGGAGATTAAATCAAACCCGTTCATTTGAATAGCTGCATCTCAATACGGGATTACTTTGCATCAGTTGAGGTTGCAGCAACAAAAGGCACCTTTGCATTTACAATTTCCAGCAAACTAACACAAAAGGACTGTGCAGAGCAGCTAAGCCTGTTGGATTGGCAAAGGGAAAACAACACATTAGCCATTATTTTCATCCTTAAAGGAAAAATACAAGACTGAAAAACCCCAAAGCTTCATATCAGGAGCCATTTTGAGTTTTAGTTTCATTTTGCCATTTGGCTGGATTTCTGCATGTGCTAAGCATCTAGCTCTTATATCATCCAGCACCTCTTTCCAGCAATGTTGACAAATAGTTGAGGCCTGTAGCTCACAGGTGCTGATACAAAATGAAGAATGAGCAACAGGGAGCTTTCAGGTCAAATTCCTGATACACAAGTGCAAAAAACAGAAAGGAAAATACAGCTTTGATCAAGAGACTGGGTCAGTTTTCAGACAGATCCATGTCCTTTAGTCAGCATGAATAACCGTACCACAATATACTTGATTTTCTTGGCAAATCCTCCAAACCAAACTCCAACACCTCAGCTCCCATCCTTCCTTATAATGGGACTGAAATAAGATGCTTATTCAGCAGTTTATACTGCACTGTTTGGGGTTTTTTTTGCACAACACTCACCCATTGAATGGCAGCCGTGCTTGGGATTGGATACTAGATGTCCCTGTAAAGCCAGTGTTGCTTGCTATAGATACATATGATGATTGTTGTAGCTAACAAAACAAAAAGGTTAGTGTGTAATAAAAGAAATTATAAACAAGAGGCTATATAGTTAGCCCTTTAATTAGCTTTCCAGATATTGTTATAAAAACAATATGCTTGTAAGCAGAGTTTTAGACATTTGTAGAATTTGGACCAGGCAGCAACCTCCTGCCTCCATACTTAGCATAAAACCAGTATTTTACATGATATTTTTGTTCTCTATTACAGTGTCTACAGCCATACAGATAACACAGAGACTACACAGAGAAATATGCAGACCACAAACAGATCCAGCTCCTAAAAACATGCCCATTTTGCCCCTTTTCCTAAGCAACCCTGCCCCTAATAAAGCAGGATCGCTTCCTGCAGAAATTACTTTAGAAGCTTCCTTAATATACAAGCCACTGACTACAGAATTAAATAAAAGCAAGTAAAATGATTTACATTCTAACTTTGCTGCATACCTGGACCCACAGTTTGTTTTTCACATTAAAAAACCAAAACCTCCTAAGAACCTGCCAAATGACACTGTTTTGGACTAGCTTCTTTTGTATTACCTATGCACAGCCATTTTCTCCTGCTGGGACAAGTTCTGAAGACAGATTGACACATAACAAGGTATGGACCTACTGGGGCCAGGCCACAGGGGACAGATTGTGTCTGGAACACAAAACCTCTGAGGAGAGGTCCAACAAATGGTGGTATTTAGTTTTAGGTAAGATTTGTGGAAGCAGACTGGAAGGTTGCAGTAAGAGTCTTCAGGGTCAAACTGCAATGGTGACAAAACCAGAAGGGAACCAGAGCTGATGTTGGTACCAGTAATGCCATGAGCTGACAGAGTCCTTGTTTGTATAGACTGGTTGCTAAGCCTTCAGCAGAACATTTCATTTATTCTCCTTTTCATTCTAAATGTTGGTCAGATCTTGGCAAAGAACAACAAACTAATTCCTAGACCTAGGCTGGTGTGACCAATACCCCTTGCTTCTGACCCCTGGTAACATGGTTAGCATAACTAACAACATTTTATCATGCAAGTAGCCATTCTCTGTGACCAAGCGGGTCACATACTCATTCCCTTTCCCCTCATTATCAGGCTCTGAGGGTCTTGTGAACCAAGTAGACAAATCAGATTTCTTCTTCCCCGTACTACTGGCCTTAAGACTCCTGGGCACCAGGCTGATTACTCCCTTCTTTACTGGTTGTGAAGGACTCAGGCACCTAGACCAGGTGGTGGTGATGACCCTGTCACAGAACAGGGAAGTGCAACAACACACAGAGCACTGTCTATAAAATCAAGCAGTTACAAGTCCTAAGCAAGGAACTTGGACTAGAACTGCTGCTGGACAGCGAGACCCATGACCCCCTGGTGGCCAGGGATGCCTCCACTGACATCTGCTTCCTCCAAGGACTGAGTGACTCGTATTCTTTTATACAATTTTTGAGTCTAGATTATGGTTGTTATATTAATAAAGCAAGCCACGTATTACGATCTGACTCAATCTGTGTCTAGGTGATTAGAAATTATAAGTTGTATTATAAATTCTGTACTATGCTATATATAAAATTGTACTACACTGATTCTACTTATCCTGCACTATTCTGATTATAAATTCTAAGCTATGCTAATAAAAAAAATTCTGTTAAGAAAATAAAGCTATGATTTAGTGCTGTCATCATGCTGCCAAGGACCCTAAAAGAAACTGTCTGTCCCCTTAGTGTCAGGTGACAGTTGGGGAGCAAGAACCTTTAAGATCAAGGTAGTATGTTCTGCAACAGCACTATTTCCTTATTTATCTCTGGGTTAAGAGCATACCTGTGTGACATACTGAGCTGGAAGGACTGCATACCCGACGTTTCCTGTGCCAGGTGCTGGTGCCAGTACAGTGCCCGGTGGGAGGTTGGTGAGGTTGGGCTGTATCTGTGGCAGTGGAGTGGCTGGCATAATAAGTCTTTGTTGGGGCTGACTAGTAGTAACTATCTGGGAAGTTGGGTTGATTGGTTTGGGCACCACCTGGAGAGAAAAGAGATCTTTATGAAGTCATTGTTTTGTTGATTCAGAATACACTTTTATTAATAAAACATTTAATTACAGTGCTGAAATAGGACTTTTTTTTCTGTCCAGCCAAAATAAGTGAGGAATATGGCTTTTACATTTAGCTCACCTGTTTCACAGTCTGTGCTGGCACTATGGGAACAGACATCCGCACTGGGGTCGCATTCACCACCACTGGCTTTGCTAGTATCAAGAAACAACATCACATTAACACGTATTATTCACCCAAAGTCCACAGTTCAGTCCTATGGACTTTCATATGTGCCATAACGCAAAGGTATTTAATACTATAACTATGCGCTGAGATTAACTGACCAAACTCATGGCACCTAGCACTTATGTCTAAAGAACACTTTTGTAAACAGGTTATTTGGCACAAGAGTGCTTGCATACATTTCACAGCAATGGCTTAAAAACCAGCTTGGGTGCAGAGCTCCTCTGGACACTGGATTTCCCCCAGCAAGAGGAGAATACAAAAATCACAGCTTGATTTGAAATCTTTCATTCCATCACAGCTCTGGAAAGCACGGACAGAAACCAACAGAAACATCTGGCACTTCTAAAACCTTTTAGATGGAAGGATCTTCATGTTGCAAGAGTTTTGGCAGTATGTTTGTGGGCTGTCCTGGCTTCACACTTTTCATACAGAGGATCTGGGACTTGCCACAAGTCATCCACAAAGCTGGGAAACTAGGGAAAAGCAACCTAAAATGCTCCAAGGATTCAGGCCCAACTACAGAGCAGTTTAACAGAGAGGAGCATTTACACTTACAAACCAGAGGTCACAGTAGAATATGAAATTTAGAGGAGTCTACCACAAAACCAAATACATCTGCCAGTCTTGAAAGATCTCTATTATGTACTCCTTTTAATCCTTACAAAGCAAACAAGAAAAAAACCAAACAAAACCAAACAACAAGAAAAACTTACTTCAGACATACATTAGCACCAGCACGTACCCTGTTGAAGAGGTTGTGTATTTGTACTGGGATTTTGACTGGCTGATTGGGTTGAACTATTGGCTGTTGTGGCAGTAACGAGTCTGACGTAATGGAACTTGCTTCCAGGTACCTGAATCTGCTGAACATTGGGTGCAGTTGCCAAGGGAATAATTGTCTTAAATTGAGATGTACCCACTCCTCCTACAGTAATGGTCTGCACTGCTGATTTCACAGCCTGTTAAGCCAACAGACATCACAAAATTACTTGTACAAAAGCAGAAAGAATATCAGCTTGTTTATTCCTCAATTTGTTAGTGAGCAACTCTTTAATCCATTTGTATCTTTGAGAAGTATGTCTGTTATCCCAATTTTTGCTTTCAAAAGTAAAACAGATGGAAAGAGATTAAATGCCTCTCAACAGCTCAGAGCAAACCCAATTTCATTCTCTAACTCTACACCACACAACAGAGTAAATTAGTATTTACACGAGTAGGATGACTCAGTCCGCTTCCCCAGATACAACTTCACGTGACTACAGAAAACACTGCTCAGTTTGTATTCAAAAACCAAGCAATGAACAAGTCCAGAAATACTGCTACTAATAAAAACACATGGTAAGAACTTGCAGAACTGCTCATGCTGGACTGTGGCATGATTTTTCTCTGTGTGTACAGATTGTCCTGTAAGATGGTTTGCAATTAATACACAGAAATCACGGTGCAGCCCTTGAAAAGGAAATGGAACAGAGCCCATAAGCTGATACCTTGTGCCCTCTTTCTCATGTCTTCAGCTAAGAAATGAAAGAAGCAAGAACAATCAAGAGTAGCAAGACACATTTATCAGGAAAAAAGCAAAAAAGGTAAAGAAAGGGAGTTTGGCAGACCTGTGCTACCTCACAGTTGGAATCATGGTACATCTGGAATTTGCAAGACTTCATCTTTCCAATTTCTCCCAAACTACAAACTGATAACAAGCAAGTGTTTATTTTATTTATACACATTCAGAAGTCTACCACTTTGATAATGGTCTCTTTTTCCAGCCTTGCTGACAACCTCAAACCTTGGTTTATTTGTGCTTTTTTTCCTTCCATCTAACTTCTTTTGGAGCTCAGCTTTTTATTCTCAGTATCTTTTAATATTGATATTAAATGTATCATTGTCCTTGGCATTAAGTTTTAGTATTAAATTTGGTTGATAGTATGATGTGACTTCTTATTAGAAGATATTCCCAGCTCCCCAGCTTTCAGCAACTGCACAAATGAAATCTCAATTTGCGCATATTTCACTGGAAGTGTAAGACCTGTCTTTTAAAAGAAGATGTTTTCTTGGGATTTTTTTTTTTTTTAAATATACTAACACCTCAACAACCCAGAGCAATTCAAAATAAGCACTATCTGCAAGCACAGTCACAGCCTAAGTGTTATCACAGGGAGACCAGCATGGGCAAAGTCCCCTCTAGCACACAATTAGTGGCTGCCATTCAAGGACAACTGGGAAAATTGTAAAATTCCAGTGACAGTTCTCTAAGGGCATGTCCTGAGCCTAGTGAAGACAGGTGAAACCCCTGTGTTGTGTCAGATAGTTCTGGATCAGAACTCAATATGTACACCACACAGACATCTCTGTTTTGTCACTTAGGGTGCTTGCATTAGAGTGATTTAACCTTTTAACAACCATTTCAAAAAAAGACAATTTTGCTGGTTTTACTCTGGAAAAAAAAAAATCAAATCATGCTGGTGTCCATGTCCCCATATCAGCATTCCAATTATCACCTACATCGGTAAGACAAGACTGGCAAAATTTGTCTGAGTCTCTGGTCTCATGCTGTACATGCAACTCTGTCCACTCCCTGCTATATCCACTCTGATCATTTACACTCACACACATCCCTTCATGTTTACCAAAACAGGAATGCAGACATTAAGATAGAAAAGGTTTGCCTAAGATTACAAGAGAGGGAAAAAAGTAAGAACTGTGATTTCTAAGAAAGGTCAGTTTTGTCTTGTCATTCTTTAATGCAAATCAATTTATCAAAACTATTATGGAAAAACTTAATATTTTTCTAGAAATGAGACACAAAAAATTAATAATTTCTAATTCTGTAGGACACCATGGTGTCTTGCTTACACAGACCTCTATCACAAGAATATGAACTGCATTGTTACAAACCTTAGAAACACCTGTGAAGCAGCCCTGTTCAGTGGCATAGAAACACTGGTAGAAGAGACAGAACCACCCAAAGAACTCTTCCTCATGTCATAGGGAGCCTTTCAGATGACTTGGGAGATTCAGTATACAGAGATGAGAACTTGCACCAAGTGGGGCTTTCCAGGTTGGAAAGCTGCTTTCTAACAGCATGCCCTTGTACGGGCTTGAAATGGTTTGCACCCCTTGACTGAAGAAGTGCGTGCTCCTCAGGGCAATGCTTTTGCCAATTCTTAAGCAAATCCATTACAAGAACACCCTGGGACTGACCACTGCCAATTTGCAGTTCAACACTCTGGTTTCCTGCAAGCAATGAGACAGACATGCTAGAAGACAAAGGAAAGTCAGTCTGTACCTGGGCGGTTGTGTGGTTGACTATAGCCTTCCCAGGGGAGGAGGGCGCTGACTGCTGCACTGTGAGGATCTGCTGTCCTAATGCTACATTCAGTGGGACGCCCACCGTCTTCTGGGGGGAGTTGGGAGGCTGGGAGGCCACTGACACCACTGTTAGCTGCTTGGCAAAACAAAGAAGCAGTTTAAATCTCTGTGCAAGATACAAGACCCTGTACATATACATTCCCCTCCTCATGAAAGTACAGTTCTCCAACAGTACAAAGAGTTCTTTCTGTGAACAAGGCTGCGGTATTTAATCACAACTCACACGGGTTCGACCATGCAACAGCAGCACATAGACACATTAGAAACTTCAAGGCATTACTGGTTTCCAGCACCAAAAGGCCCCTGCAGAAAACTAGCACTGCTTCTGTTTTTTTAATTTGGGGGGTGTGTGTGCGTGCGTGTGTTCGGGGTTTTTTTTTAAGGAAACTAGTCCACTAAAGGCTGAGCATTGTCAGGCTGGATTTTCTGCATAACAACTTTATAATTGGTATCATGACTATTTCATCATAAATGGAAATTTTAAAAGGAGAGCTGTGGAAAGGAAAAAAACCAAATAATATCACCTTACACTACTGATGCAGCCAAAGTATAAGAACATCAGTATTTTCAAATCTACTTTCCAGATTCCCGTAGAGATCCAGTCATCTGACAGCATTTCTGCTGAGTAGTGTTTGAATACTCTATTTCTACATAGCTACACCCCCCCCAAGGTTGTTTTTCTACTTTTGTTCTAAACTTCCCTCTTTATGTTTTAAGAAAACTCCCAATTTTTGAAACCATTTGCTTTTAAAAAGATACTTAGAATTACTTATCTACAGTAAATTCAAGATGTAACCCTAAGGAGTCTTTTCACCTCCACTCATTGCTACTTTGATTCTAGATTTATATTTTCTTCTTCCTCATGTTTCTTCCCTCACTAATAATTCTCAAACAGGTATCCTTCACTCATGTAACATTGCATAGCTGAAGCACGGCCACACTAAGAGAATTCTTTACTCTTACACACTATGCATCTTGCCCCTCCAATTCTTCCTTTCTCCAGCAACATTCTTCTGAAGACAAGTTCATCAAGTCTAAAATACAAGCGTCACCATGACACTTGTCAGTAACACAGCTTACAATGGATGTTACCTTTCTATCTACTGCCCACCTGTGCCAGTCTGCAGCTCTGTATTTGTCAACAACCATTGCAAATCTCATTTACTTCAGATGTAATTAGGGAAGATTAAATTATCTATGGAGTAGCAGGCAATGGTTAATAAGTACTGACCTATTAGCATCAAGTTCTCCTCTTAAACAGCCTGTTGACATTTTATGAAGACATTAAAAAATACTGTTTGAGCACTTGACTAAGAACAGCTGCTCTAGGAATGGATACTTAGGGAATGGCAAGAAATGGCAGGAATGGTAAACTAATGCAGTAATGTATATTTACTTAAAACCGCAGTAAGGGAGCCAATTGCAAAAAATCTAGCTTAGGCCATTACTGCAGAGCATCGTGATGCGCAACGGAGCTCTGGAGTGGCAAGATCATAAACAGCTTGTAACAAAGACACAGAGAGCTCCATTCAGACCGCTGTGCAGTAGGGACAGAAGGCTTCAGCCAGCATCAGGTCCTTACCTTATTAGGGGATTTGAGTGGTGAGATAGCTATTTTATTCGGTGTCTGTTGTGGTGGTGTACTCAAAGATGATCCAATGACTCCGCTCTCAGAAATCGTTATTGTCTTTGGTGGTGTTCCTGGAGCAGACTGTGAAAGAACTCTACCTATAAACAGTGAAGATACCATCAGCTCAAGTTATCCCTGTTTACATTAACTTTTAAAGCCAAGTTTTCTCTGCATATTATGCAATTGATCCCTACTTTTGAGAGTGTATTACCTCGTAGGAAAGACATTGGCATTTTTAAAGTTAGATTTAGCAACAAATAAGAAAATAATTAGCATTATTGCAAATAAAAAGACAGTTTACTAGGGCTTAAAAAAGCAGAAATGTACATTGAGCTTTCTGTGACATTCAGCTGAAAACGCTTTAAAGCCAGGACAGCATCCTGAAGCACACAGCCCTCCAATACACCTGCGCTGAGCACAAACAGTCAGCTGGTAGTTTCCTAGAATCCCCTGGGCTGCTGCCAATGTATAGAGAAACTGAGCATCTGTGGGGGGCTACTTTCTTTTAAAACATCAGTCATCAGAAACAAGCAGTGGTAATGATCAAGCAAAAGGTGTTTGGTCCATCTCTGCTCAACTAAGGGGTGTTTTTGTTTTTTCTTCTCTGTGTTGGCAGTTGCTCCTTCCACTGCCTAACAGAATATATGATGCTCCCATGAAAACATGGGTGGTAATGTAACTCTACAAACTATCCACTTTTACAACAGCAAAAAAGATTAAACATCAAAACCAGCAGCTCCAAATCATGAAATCAGTCTTAGGAATATTACAAAACTCCCAGAATGGAACACAGATTTTTTTTTTTTGATTTTTTTTTTTAAGTTTTATATCATACTTCTAAGTTTCTTTCCAAAAAGTGTTTGACAGCTGAGCTCTCCTCTGCTGCACTTTGGCTCAGACTCATTTCTGTCACAGCTTCTGTCACCCACTCTCTTGTACTACATTTATTAAAATAAGAAACAAATACCAGCATCATAACTGTTCCATGCAAAACCAACCACTGTCATGACAATTAAGTCAAATGGAACTAACAAGAAAAAGCATCGTCCTTGTGGAAAGCTGCCTTCCTGTGAGGTCTATGCGCTCTAAAATAACCTTCACTTTTGTGCAGCCTAAGTAACAGCACAGATTGTTGCCAGCAGCTGCTAAAGCCACACGCAACCTGAAAAATGTCAGTCTGTGGGAATTTTACAGTATTCAATACTTTGAGTTTGTTTTATCCTAGTGACAGCTTTCCCTTTCTTGCTACCTCCCCTCTGCAACCCTTGGCACCAGCTTCTTAAACAGAATCTGGCTGCTTATATTGACAAGTCTTTAAAATTTACAACTTCCACCTCAGTTTGCAGAAATTCCCAGGCAATTAAAAATATTTATCAGATTCATAAAAACACACATACAAAATCAAAACATAACACACAAATGTTACACCTTCCCCAAAATGATGCCAGCCTCTCAAAGCTGGCAAGCTGTGCTGGCAGTTTGGGATGGCGAGAGGAAAGGCAGATGTTTAAAAATACTTCCTGCTCAATTAGAGCAGCATCTTCACTTCCCAGTGATGCTTCTCTCACAGGCTCAGGGACAGGTGCTCTTATTTTTCAACATATTGATTTAAAGGCTGGAAGTTTATTTTCTAACACCTGCTTGTCAATATTACGCAGGTATGCTTTGGACACTTCCCTTCATTGTGGAGGCAGCAAACTTAAAAATATGCTCTTGTTAGTATTATTTTTATTGTGGTTCCTTACAGTTTACACCAATTTTCATGTAATGCCAGATGAAAATGTAATGCAGTTCCAAGTGGCTCATTTCAGGGTTTTTAATATTTTTGGGTTGGATTTTTTATTTGTTTGGGTTTTGCTTTTAAATACACAAACAGCTTAATTCAAATATTTATAAACATAGCGAAGCAATCTTCTTATTCACAGATCTCTACATTTGGTAGGGAATTGATTGAGAAAGGGGAAAAAAACAGGGAATGGGATGGGGAATCCCTCTTTCACCTGAAACATGAGTTGGGCTTCAGGGTGCAGGCAGCCTGACAACTCAAGGAAAAGATTATGTTTCAGTAATATGCCATTCACTTGTCATCTATCAAAGTTTTGAATACAGGAGACACTTGCATTCTTTAAAAAAAAAAAACAAAACAAAACAAAAACAGCTCAAGTCCCAGTTCTGTAAAGGCGTAACAAATTCATTTAAATATGTGGAAAAGATTTTAGGCCTACTTGCGTTGGTCAATCTGGAAGCAGTTGAAGACATCCTTCAAAGCTCTGAAGACGCCTCTGGCTTCCTACGTTTGTCCTTTTTGAGATAATTTACATGTCTCAGATGTTACTTGCATGCATGCAATGATGCATTTAGCAAGGGACACATCGGTCTCACTGCCATAATAAACAAATGATTACACTGTGGGTTGGTTATTTGTTTGGGGTTTTTTTTGTTTTTTGGGTTTGTTTGGGGTTGTTGGTTTTTTTTTTTTAAGGTCACAAACAGATTCATTTTCCTAAGACACACACCATTTCTTATTTGCCTTAATTACTTTCTTAGAATCTTCTGCAATGCTTATTTTTGAAGTAGGTGAGCAACTTAACAGAAACACAGCTTTATTCACTTTTTTCACTCAAACATTTTTTCCTGTTATTTGCATGTATTACATTTAAGTCCAACTATAAGCAGATTAAAGTAGTACAAAAGCATGTGTCTCCTTCTCCTGCTGTATTTATATAATGTATCTACAAATATTTTCTGTTTATTGAGTAGCCTTTTTTTTTTCTCCTCCCCAAAATTCAGGAAGTAAAAACATCTTACAGTAAAAGCAAAATGATCAAACTCTACAATCAAAGATAATTCTAAACAAGCAAAGTGTATCAACAACTGCATTTATCTGCTTCTACTCAAAATTCTCTGGTTTTTTTTTTTTTTAATTGCTTGATGTACTTCAACAGAAACTACAGTAAAATCATTAAGACAGGGAAATGTCTACAATCACCACCTCTTTGAACAGCCTTTAAAAAATGGTAAAGTAAAACAACTCAAAGAAGTACAACCTGCAATGACTGGTGACACTTGAGTGGTCTGCCCTGTAACAGCTTTGCTATTGATTGGTTTTGCAAAGATCAGCTTGGTGATCACTGGCCCAGAAGTTGGGGTTCGGGTCTTCTTCGCAATCTGAAAGATGGAAGAATAAAATATCTAAAGTAACTTGAGCATTTTGGATCTAAATTATTGTATTGTTGAGTACATTAGAAGATAACAAGGGCAATACTCACACACATAATTAGAAGAATAACTGCTTATCTCACATTTCACCTCCATTTCTCACCATGGAGAGTACTAGGATATCATTCATGCCACTTAAGAAAACCAGCCACCAAACCAGGATAGCCAAATCCCTTACAGCTTTTGTAAGCTATCTCTCTGTGCAAACATACCTCATCTTCAAGATGCTGAAATTATTTCTAACATGCCATTATTCTATATAAAAACGTTAAAATTAAATGCACAACTCTCAATATTTGAGGTTTTAAAAAAGTTAATTCTTTTTCAGCCAGTCACGACAAAACTTGTTCCTCGACTGATTTAAACATGACAACTACTGCTCTGAAACATCTCTTGACCTATTCTGACACAGCAGCACACTTTTACCCTGCAAATGGAGAAACAGTCTTCTGCAGCAGTTCTCAAGAAGGATGTGGGTCATCAGTCCCTGAAAGTTTTGGGTATTCACCAGCCAAGAACAAACCAGTTAGCTACATCCACGTACAACGGGGTCTTTTTCCTTCCGTGATCCAGTCTTCTGAATCACAGCCGGACTAGGAACATGTACATGCAATTCAATGAGACAGATCACTTCAACTTGAAATCTTTATAAGCAGAGTTTTATAGTCTTAGAAGTCTTTAAACAGGACTTTTTCCCCTTTTCCATGCTGACAGAAGTTAACTACCAGATGCATTTATCCTCATAGTTTCTATACACCAGCATCCAGCTAGTGAATAGTTCAATTAAGAGGTTGACTTCTTTCAAGACTATTTTAACCTGCTGACTGCAGAGGCTGCCAGCAGATGCAGACTATTGCTAGGATCTTCCCTGAGTCCAAGTGAGCACACTGGAAAGCATTATGAAGCCCTTACACTTACCTATCCCACAGGTCAGGCCCATATTGCTTCTCTTCCACCACACATGCCCAGCCACATCCCATGGGCACCAGCCACCAACTCCAGGAATATCAGAGAGGCACGACATTGGTATCCATATGGGGAGCCACTTCTCAAAGGTGCAGAACCACCTTTGTTACTCAAGTAGCTAACTGGAGAAATCTCACTGATGTACAAAGATACAGAGATGACAGCTACTTTTAACAGCCTGATAAAGTTGTGAGCGCTTAAATGAAGCAATTGAGTAGGCTGGATGTTATGGTTTTCTACACAAAACCCTATTTACAGAATTTGCTGACTGAAAACATCACCTTTACAGTAGAGTAATGCCAAAACATCTGAAGTATTCAGTAGTACATAACAAATCCCCCAGCTGCCCCACAACAAGCATGCATGAGGCTGTTTCAGCTCCTAGCAGGACACTCATGGCATGGCCGGGGAAGCCAGAGCTCCCCCCTGCTATGGCACTGGAGCTCTCCAGCCTCCCATGGAAAGCAAACATTGCCTCCACATGCCTGACTTGTGCCCAGCCCAGGGAAGCCAGCAATGAGCAGCTCTGACACCAGGCAGTGCCAGAAAACAGAACTCATTTAAAGGAAGCCATGTACTGCTCCAAAGTTACAGTACAAGTGTTCCTCAGAGGAAACCTGCACCTCAGACCATTGGCAGGTGATGGTCTTTTGTCCAAATATGCTGCACCCAGGCCACATTAGCTTCATAATAGTCAAGGCTTCACAATGAAACAGAGAAGAAAAAACCCCGCTCTTTTTGGAAATATATTAACTAAAACCTTGAAACATTAGTTGTTTGAAGAAGGAAGCTTCATTCACAGCCCAGTTTACAAATTTAACTCAAACCCATTTTACTATTTCAAGGTTTCAGTTCTCTTGGCGCATACAGTGCTGATAGATGAGTAGGCATTTTATCAGTACATTCTTTTGTAAATTTGCACACATTTTAATTTCTGTTAAATTCCCCAGATTTCATCTGCTTGATTTGAGATTTCTATTCTGCTGAAATTAATCTTACCCTGCCATAAGGTATTATTGTAACTCAACAGCTATTGCTTTTACTCTCTGAAGCGAGGGCAAAGTCTGGCTCAGAACACGATCAACACCCAGCAGGAACAGCCAGCTCTGGACAACAGCAGTCGTTTCCCAGTAACAGTCAATAAGCGTGTTTAAATGATTTACATGAATACATGTAAAGTACTAGCTATCCGTTACCATGAAGTATTTCAGGAAAAAAACCCATAAAAATCCCAAAATATAGCTGGTCAACAAAAGTAGCCCTGCTTCCCTCAGACTCAACTTGCAGCATCCTCCTCAGATAAATCCCCCCCTGCTTTTTGGGTGAACTGTTTGTCTACAAAGAAGGAAGTCTAAGAAACAAGTGAATCCCCTCAGGGCTTAGGAAACATGGCAAAACTCAAATGTGGATGGTTATAGGTGAGGAAGAGTCCTTGGCTGCCAAATGCAGGCAGTACACTCCTGCCCTTACTTGCTGCCAAGCAAGCCTTTCTGAGGTTTTTGCCACTGGAATTGATAACCCCAGCCATCTGCATCTGCAAGAGCCTTCTAGGCATCAGTAGGAAACTCACTACCCATTTCAGTAGAGACTGGAGAAGCCAAAGGAAATAATCATGACAGACTGCCCCTTTGATGCTTCATAAAGTTCTCTGGAGCCTTCTGCCATTGCCTGTACTAATCACAAGAAGCTTAACATTATTCTTCTGCCTATGTAAGCTAAGCACGCTCTCTGCAAGTTACTTTGAATTAGACTGCAAAAATATTTCCTGGGGCAACATGCTCTTCCATAAAAAAATTATTATATTTAGAAGCACACACCAACCTTCTTCCCCCTACAGCAGTAAAGATTTATCTGCAAGCATCTTTATGTAAAGGGTCAATTTATGTCTTCCGAAGCACTCTCCACTAACCAAGATGAACTAGCAAGTTTCTATGGCCAGACTTTGTTTTCAGCTGTCACTCTGTGTTCTATTCATACAGAAAGAGGCACATGCATACCTCGCATTTACTGCTAAATTGAATACCCACATAGTCAGCTACCACAAAGGAGCTAACATACATATAAATTTACTCCCTAGATGACCTCATGGGAGCTTGTCCATGTAGCCACATCCTAAGTAATTTATATTTGGCATAATATGAAAAATCAGGGACTCCAGAAGAGGAGAACAACGTACTTCAGAAAAGATGAAGAAACTGAGCTAGGAATGGGAGTTTGCTCTGAGGTTAGGTTAGTGTCTAGCCTCATATATCCCTCTGATGCTTCAGTAATTTCCTACAGGGAAAAGCACTGCCTGGGAAGTGCTAATGTAATCATCTTCCCTGCAGTACATGCTTATAACTTCTTGCGTTCTTTTCATTTTTATTTCCTCCTCTCCATAGAGGAAAACAGGAATTCCAGGTGTTAACAATTCAATCTGTTTTGCACAGGGAAGCAAAAGTTTAATTAAAGAGACCACAACAAAACAAATTTACTCAAACTGCAATTAACTAGATTTACAAATGGATGCGAGTCCATTTGTAGCAGCTTCTATTAAGGAACCTGTAGAATTCCTAATGACAAACAGCAGAGGTCAATTGCGAAGTCACTGTATTTCAGTCACTGATGGCACAGGTCATCTCATGGAACCAAAAGCACATCACAGCTAAGTCATCCTCCTCAGTTTCCTGTATCTGTTACTTGGCCAAGTAACAGGAACTGATCCACTCAAACGTTCCTATGCTGAGTCAAGAGCAGAGGCTTTTTGGAAATCTATGCCAATCATATCATTAATGATCAAGGTACAAAAATATAACTAAGACAATTGATATCTTTCAAACAGTCATTATTAAACATGTTTTCCACAGGTATGATGTAGCAACAAAAAAGGAGAAAGCAGAAATCAGTGCAGGGATTATCTGCAGCTTTAAAACAAACCCTCTCGAGAGTTGCTCACATTTGCTTGCCATGAAATACTAGTCAGAAAACTTAACATTCAACTAATAACATGCTTAGAAGTTTGTAATTTTTCATGTGCAGCAAATTAGTTTTTATTAGCATACTTAATTTCTTATTTCATTTAGACTGTAAAATAAGTATTTTTCCATCATAACCTGCATCGAGTTCTACTTTTCCGTCACTTTCACGAGGTCTTATTTCTGCCTCACTGCCAACTAGAACAAAGTCATTCACATTTAGTTCTGCCATAAACCAGATGAAAATCAGGACCTTTGGGCCATAACCCAAGTATTTTCAACACATCTTCAGATCCCAGCAGATTCTCTGTGGTTTCAAATATCTCAAGATCCATGCCAGAGATCAGGAGCAAGACCCTGAAATGTCCAGCTTATGATAGCATCTAGTCTATCATCATCTATTAACAAACTTAACTAGATTTGAGGCAGGCAAGATATACCTTTCCGTTCTTTTTCAAATGCTGGAAGGGTTTTTTTTCCAGAGAGTTTTATTTAAACAAACTAAATGTAATAGGCAAAAGCTACTCTTTCATAAAGGAGTAAAGCAGCGTACACTTTGAATAAAGAACATCAGGCACAGAGTTCAATTCAGCCTTCCTGAAAGCATGTAGAATTTATTTTTATAAAATAAATAATGGGAAAATTGTCTTCAATTTACTGAATTTTAATAGCTAGTTTGCTTTCTCAGAGGCAAATCCTAAGTTTCTAGACAGTAGCTAGGGCATAAAATGGTAAATGCATCCACAGATGAAAGCATGGACTAAGAGCAGCATTGTATTTTTTAATACAAGGAATAAATGCAAAGGCTGAAAGCAACTGTGTGTCAATCAGTGAAGGAAATGGACAACAGTTGCAGCAACAAAATTATTTTTAAGATGTTTCAGCATAAATCACTTTACCTGTACTGTTTTTAATTGCTGGGTCTGCAAAACAGAAGGCTGGGCTGCAGTGTTTATCAGCTGACTTCCTTGCGTCAAAGCTGAGACACCAACAACAGGTTTCACTTCCGACCGACCTCCAATAACAACTTTGATCTGTTGGCCTTGTACCTTGGAGTCTCCACCTTGGGCTTGGGACGTGGCCTTCTGCGCCTGTGGGAGTTGGCCGTGGGGTAACGCTAAAACAATAGGTTGGCCAGACTTGCCCAAAGTTGTTACAATTAGCTTTTGCCCATCTGGTTTAATACTCTGATTGCCTATTTTAATATCGGCGGTCTTGTTCAGAATAATTTGATTGGCTGATATAGTGACGGGGGTCTGAGCACCAAGTTTATGGAGGCCACTTGGAAAGGTAGGCTTTACTACTGCATTCACATCAGTTTTTGGGGTTGTGGTGTTCACTGTTGTGTCGCCTGAGTGATTGCTGGGTGCAGTAACTGATTCTGTGGTGACCACGGCAGTAGTTGTAGCTGAGGACTCGCTGGTGGAGCTTATGTTCACTATTTCTTCCAGTTCTGTTTCCATGGGAATAGAATCTCCCATCGGTGACGACACGATAACCGCCTCAATGCTGTCGTCTTCCACCAGAGTTATACCAGTGTCCATTATTTCCTCAGGGAGCAAGCTGTTGACTTCTGCTGAAACCACCTCCATTTTAGCAGTGGTGGCAGCGATGACCAGAGCAGGTACTGCAATAATACGTTAAAAAGTTATTGGCTTCCAGAAACATACATTTTCAAATTATTAGAAATTTTTTCAAACTGAAGGTATTGTGCATGCACAGGAGAGATATCATAAAAACCCTGTTATCAAAACATAACACATTAAGCTGAATTTACTCTCAGTAAGAATTTATATCAAACCTCTGCAACATCATCCACTGAAGTCAAATCAAGGCACTGAATTGCTGTGGATTACCAGTCCACTTTTGACAACACAGTACACAAAGTAGCGTTTCCCTCCCCCCCAAGATACGGGCACCCTGTTCACAGACACTGAAGCTTACTGAAATAAAAAGCAAGAGTTAAACTGCTTTAAAAATCTAACAGATGATAATGGCTTTTCTCATACACATCAACATTGATTAGCAGGCTTTCTTGCCTCAAGAGACTTATTATCCATACTAGATGTAACAAAGGTTCATTCTTGCCAAATCCTCATTTTAGAAATCTCAGAAATACAAATAGCCATCTAGTGATGGGCTTCAACAACTTCAACAGCCCACCTACCCCCAGGATCAAGCCAAAGCCCTGCCCTTTCAGGATGAACAGGTAATTCCTCTATGCTAGCGATGAAAAGAACAGCCCAATATTTTTTTCCTCAATACTCACAAGAAAATATAATGCCCAAATTCATGATTGATTTGAAACACATTCTAAACACAAAACAAAGAACACCTTATCTGAAAGAAAACAGAATTTAAGCTAACTAGTAAGAGTGACCAATTTATATTAAAAAAAAACCACAGTGAGATTCAAAGCCAGAGTCACTTCCCACTTGAAAAACCTTAAAGTGATTGCTGGAAATAGTCACATCTACCATTCCCACTAAAACTGTATCACTGTCAGAGGGTGAAAACAGATCACCTTTAGGCTTTTTCCCCACTTGCTGAACCCATCAGCCACTTGGACACTGGACAGGAAACCACACTGTGTGGGTATGTGTACGCACTCTTGAGTGCTCATTTTAAGCTCAAGAGGACAGGATCCTTGCAAATTCAGTTTTCTAGTTGCTAGGAAAAGCAGAACTGAGTTATTTGTACTAAGCGACATTCATAATTGAGGAACTGTGCTACTAAAAACACTGACCAAATGCCAAGGTGGCATTGATTCCTCCAGAGTCATTGTGGTTCCATTTTGCACAGCAGCTAACTACAGAACAGCTGCATTTCGGCCACAAGGTAGAAAGATGGGGAAAGAACCCTGCTATAATCTACCTAGTTTCCATGCCAAGCTCAGGAGGCTGTGCTGGAGCAGTCCATGGCCTTCCTGATCATGAAGGGTGCCATCTTAATTCCCCTCATCTCTGGAGTACAAGCCATACCAAACTGCCACAATACTCAAGTAGCCCGAGCTGCACAAGAACTTGTACAAATGACCGAGGGTCAAACTCATACAGAGCTCACTTATTGTCAGGCATTTAAAGATACAAAGTTACCTGATGTCACTGCCAGAAACACCTCCTCCGTAAAGCATTTCTCCCAAAGTAATGCCACCAGAGCTTGCAGTTATGCCAGCCCTGGTAACTAGTGCTAGACAAAACAGCTTAATCCTAAGGACATGTTAGTAATAGTATCGCATTGCTGTCAAAGTCAGATTGGTTAACTGCATACGAGATTACACAAAAACAGGAATAGTCAATGCAGATTGTTTCAGCATATGTTAAGGCCACTAGCTCTCCTCCTGAGTTGTGTTGCTTTATTGTCTCCTGATCAATCTGCATGGGCTTGTGCCTTAGATCTCTCACCTTCCAACTATTTTGGACAACCTTCCCCCCAATCATCCTGTTCTATACTGACAAGCACAAGGCACTTGGATCCAGAAGTTAGACTCCTAGGGTCAACCACAATTCAAATAATGATTGCCTTCATCTAAAACAATTGCCAATCATCTGGATCAGACAATGGGGAGAATAAATAAATTGCCAGATTCAGTAATGACAATTTTAAGTTACTTGATTTTGGTTTGTATTTGTATGTGTTATTCCCTAGAAAGGTCATATAAAAATACTGAAGAGATTAAGGAGTTTAAAATTACCAGGCCTTGAGTAGGTGAAAGCTGCCACAAAAGAGAGATCCAACTACCATCCAGTGGGAACACTGCAGTAGCAATTAATTCACCTGCTCCCATTCCCCTTCCTAATTTTCTAGTTCTTGGGATGGAGGGGAAAAAATGGGATCTTGTAATTATTCAACCATGGAACAGTTACTAAGGTCTCCATACTTCTATCATTGACATATAACACTACAAAATATTGGCAAGGACATTTAAAACACAATGAGCCAAAAAAGTCACAGAAGAACAAACAGAAGATGTTCTTTGTAGACATGCTGTAAAAAAAATTGAAATCTTTTACTTAAGTTTTCAAAAATTTGTGTCCTAATGTCTTCAAAACAAAAATGTTTTACCAACACATTGATATGAAATACACTGCCTTCACCACAAAATGCTTTAGCTGATGATACCCAAAGCTTTAGAAGCTATGCATGCAACATGACCACACCTTCTTTCTTCACCACAACTGCTATTACAAGTATACTTTAAGACTCGGCTATCCCATGACCTGTAGCTGTTTTCTTCACATCAAAATTAATTCTCAAATACATGGAATCACAGCATGCTACTACAGAAGTTAGATTACACACACTGAGTACAAAAGTAATTTTTACAATCAAATTAACAAAAACCTTAGATATAGTACATAACCAAAAGTCTCCATGAGTCAGAGAACCTTTCAGGCTAAACAGAAGCTTGAAAGAAAGTGAAAAAAGCCACTACTAAGTTTTTGGTGAAAGCAGCATGTCATACAAATTGTAAATGGTCAAATTACATTACATGTATATGCAAGTGCATTGCTTGCTAGAAAAACCAACATGTTAAAACACTCAGATATCTAACTCAATTGGACAACCTCCTTTTCACTGTAAGAAGAAAATATTACATTGCCCAAATGTACCATCAATTACAAAACAAAATTAGTAAGGAAGAACATTCTAGCCATTGTGAGGGACTATGTAGTATTACTAAAAAAACCCAACAACACTCAAAGCACTTGCCCAGAATCATTAGTATCTACAAAACTAAACCACTTAAAGGTCAAATTACTTCCCCATGCCTGGTTCACAGCTGTTACCGAGCTCTCACATACTAGTTAAATGTCCATTAAGAAGGGGTCAAAACCATACCATTTTACTAATATTTGTCTGCATTTCAAGCCATGTCTACACTTCAAATTTGCATAGATTTCTACCTATCTCATACTAATCAGCTGACACTTTCAGCATTTGCTATTTGTGGCTAACAGCAAGTTGAAAACTTAAGACTTTCATGTCATTCTGAAGATTGACTAGGATCAGCAAGCTGATGATAAATCTGCCTCTTGAGAACTACTTAGTGCCCTTTACGAGTCTAATCCTCACTGGTACTAAGTAAATTCCGAGTGCACTGAAGAGCAAAGGCATTACTATTATTTGAACGCCAATCTAACAGTGCAATGTTCTGCAGAAGAACATTGTGTGTATTTTTCAAGTGACTGGCACATCCAGGCTAAGAAGGCAGAAATAGATAAGCACCTATGAGAGCCATTTATGCTCTGATTACCAACAAATGCATGCTGTTGACCACAGAAAGAAATTCCATACACATCTGTACATCCTCCTTTTCTCTTAAAAAGAAGTGTTGAAGGTCACTTTATCATTGCAAGGTTAAAGTCTTAAACACTGCTTGTTTAGCACATACCTTCCTTACAGCAACTTTCCAGGAAAGACCTGGAAATAACACTCATTGCAGCACAACACTTCAAAGCAGTTCAGTTTGCTTTCTGTAACTGGAAGCAATGTTCTACTTTCAAGCAGAGTTTCATGCAAACTAAAAATAACATGGAAACCAAAAATCAGAATGTTTCCCTTGGTTTGCCTACCAGTTTCAGCCATTTTCACAACATACAGTAGCACAAAAGCTGAAAAACAAAATTGCACAGCTGTTCTTATGATCATTAAACACATTTTGAAGGTGTCCACTGCCATGAATAATCCAATACTTGGGTTTGTAGATTACAGGGCCTTTACATTTAATGAAGCATTTCTAACCTTATGTTCTATATAGACTCTGTGGTGAGACCAAAAGAAATAACCCCTAAAATAACTTCAAATTATTTCATTGTCTGCAGTGTTCACGAGGCCAAAATTAAAGCATTAAGAATCTGAAGTTAAAATTTATATATTGGTAATGGACTTAGCTTGACTGAAAAAAAAAACCCCAAACCTTAAAAAAAACCATAACAAATGTGAAGAGTACTTATCTAGGCCCAAGAAATCAAGATTTCAGTCTTTTAAAAATAGCTTGAAATAAATAAATGGTCTTACTTTATTATAAATAAAGGTCTTACTTTCCAAATTTTGGACACCTCTTGAATGTGGGGCTACAGAAGAATTCAGAACACGCAGCTATGTCACACCAAGGACACTCTTATAAACAACAAGCATGAAAACTGCCATCATAGGATTGATATCAAGTTCCCCACAGACTTTTAACTGGTATTATCATATTGGGCACCTTTTAAGATTAGGCTTTCTGCCAGCAGTTTCAGAAAGACTGCATTCTAGCCTTGTATTTATGAGCAAAAGTTCATCTCAACGGAATTGTGACCTACCAATGTTACTGACACTTTGCAAATCAGGAAGCACAACAATTAGCAGTGCATTACATGAATACTTGAGCAGTGCTGCCCAGTCAGAAGGTACAATACATGAAGTTCATTCTAACAGAAACAAAAACACATGCCAACACTGATTTCAGTGGGGTATTTAATTTCCAAAAATATGCTAATATGGCACAGAACAGCATTTTGTCCTAAAAACTTAATTCCTTATGCATCTTATGCAATCATACAATTCTTTTCAAAGTTAGAAGAATGTAGAGATGAAGACCAGATAAAAATCTAAGACTATAAACTGCAATGCTTTC